AGAGAGGTGGAATCATTATGTTATAGAGATATAAAAAGAATAATAAGGGAATAGTATAAACAATGTTATACCAATAAATTTGACAACTTACATAAAATGGACAAAGTTTTTGAAAGACACAAACTACCAAAGCTTACTCGAGAAAAAGTAGATAATTTAAATAGCCATATGTCTACTAAAGAAATTAAATGTGTAGCTTTAAAGCTTCCCACAAAGAAAATTCATGACCCACATGGCTTCACTTGTGAATTCTGTGAAACATTTAAGGAAGTAATAAGAAATACCAGCAAATCCACACTCACTATTCCAGAAAAATGAAGAATAGGGAATATTTTCCAACTATTCCTATAAGGCCAGCATTATTCTGATGCCAAAACTAAACAAAGACCAATTAAGAGAAAGAAAAACTACAGACCGCTATCTACCATGAACATAGATGCAAAATTCTAATAAAATTTTAGCAAATCAAATCAGATAGTATATAAAAAGGGTAATACATCATGGCAAAGCAAAGTGGTTTATCTCAAGGATGCAGAGTTGGTTTGACATTTGAAAATCTATCAATGTAATTTACCATATGTTATGGGTTGAATTGTGTCTCCCAAAAGGATATGTTGAAGTCCTAACTCCTGGTAACTGTGAATGTGATCTTATTTGGAAATAAGGTCTTTAGAGGGAGAATGGCCCTGCCGACACTTTGATTTGGACCTCTAGCCTCCATAACTGGGACAGAATAAATTTCTATTCTTTTAAGTCCCAACTTGTGGTACTTTGTTACAGTAGCCCTAGAAAATTAAATACATACCATACTAAAAAAGAAAAACCATATGATCATCTCATAGCTGTAGGAAATGCATTTGACAAAATACAACAGCCATTTCTGACCAAAACTCTCAGCAAACTAGGAATAGAAGGAACTTCCTCAACTTAATAAAGGGTATCTACCAAAAATCCTTTAACTGATATCATACTTAATGGTGAAAGACTGAACTCTTTCTCTCTAAGAACAAAGAAAGGATGTCTCCTTTCACTCCTATTCAGTATTGTACTGGATGTTTTAAACAGTACAATAAGGAAAGAAAAAGAAATTAAAGGCATTTAAATTGGAAAGCGGTAAAACTGTATTCATAAACATAATTGTCTACTTAGAAAATTCCATGAAATCTATCAGAATGCCACTAGAACTAATGTGTTTAGCAAGATTTCAGGATATAAGACCAACATAAAAAATAAATCTTATTTCTATACACTAGCAATAAAGATCTGGAAACTGAAGTTTAAAAAACCATTATTTACAGAGAGGGACACTGGGAAAGGAGGAGTTTGAGGGTGGATGACAAAGGAGAACAATGAAACTTTTGGAGGTGATGGATATGTTCTTGATTGTGGCAATGGTTTCATAGGTGTATGCTTATGTCAAAACTGATCAAATTGTGGTCTTTAAATACATGCAATTTATAAAACGTCAATCATAACTCGACAAAGCTATTTTTAAAAAAACAAACTTTTTTAAAATGATGGAGTAAAGCTGTATCTGCTCACAAGGAAATAGCAGTTATCTTGAGG